CTCAGAATGGAGATGGCATTCTGCAGCCCGCATATTACAGATCAAGAAACCGGAGGAGGTTAGTCATAAATTCATTATATCCCAAAATGTGACGGTTTTGTCTCTGTGAGTCATGCTCCAGTATTTCGTTCTGCCTCTTATCTGGACCGACTCCTTCCTAGAATTGCCAAGGTTGCATTAAGAAATCATCACATTCACACTGCCCCCAGCCCGTGCTTAGCTTCCCCTCCAAGCTCAGAATGCCTTTTGACTGCAGAAATATCCACAGGCTTGCTGTCACCGTGACAAAAGTTGCGCCGTGCTGCCTTGCCTCTGGCTTTCTCCTGCTCCGAAAATGAAATGTCAGTGAAACAGCCTAATTGGAAGCAAGGGACTTGGGCACTCTCGACTGAAGAGTCTCTAATCATCTTCTCATGTAGATAGTACTACTCCAAAACGACTACTCCAGGGCTCTCGTGTCACATGGCAACTCTTGGCCTATTTTGCTGGCTGCTAGTTCAGTACATCGGAGGCCATCAGGAGCAAGCAGAACTCAAAAGCAACTGCAAAAGCTCTTCTACATTTCGTCCCAGTTCTCCCTCCCACTTCGCCAGAGGCTACTTTAACTGGCATGGTTCAATGCCATGTGGTCAGTGGGACTTGGGGACCTTCTCTGCCAAAGAATGTTGATGCCGCACCAACGCACAGCCTTGAAGATGCCATACTATTGAGCTGTGGCAGTTAAAGTGGAATCAAACTGCATCAGTTCTACAGTGCTGATGCTCCTGGAGAGGATAAGCATAACAACTAGGGCTGGGCGGTTTCGTTTCGTTAATTCGTAATTCGTTAAAAATTCGTTATTTTTTTGTTAACGAAGCGATAACGAATCATTCTGGAGCAACTTAAAAACGAAACGAATTTTCCAATTGGTTTCGTAAATGCTTCGTATTTCGTTATGTATTCGTTTCGTTATTGGTTTGGGGTCGTTTCGTTATTATTTCCGCATGTCTGGGGCAAGTTTTATAGTTGTTTTTTGTTTAATTAGTGAAAAAAAATTATAAATATCACACCAACAGTCAACAACAGAGGGAGAGGGAAGCTTCAGAAGTTCCCCCTGTCCCATTTGGAGGTTTTTTAGCGTATTGCGCGGTCGCGTCCACCATTAACGAATCGATTCGTTATTGTTTCGTTATTGTTTTGTAATTTTTTTACCATTTACGAAATTTCGTAAATATCGAACTTTTTTTTTAAAAAATCAGAATTCTTTTAAATATCGAAACGCAAAAAACCCCAAAAAACGAATCGATTTTAGAAACAAATTTTTCCGTTGTTACACAGGCCTAACAACAACAACAACAACAACAACAACAACAACAACAAGCCATTAGAACAAATGCATCAAAGCTGTGCTGGTACGGCTGTACCAGGAGCTCCAATTTTATTTGCTTTGTATTAAGTGTTTGCTTGCAGTCCAAGGTTTCAGAGTCTCCAGAAAGGTGGCTTCTTTTGGTTGCAGTCATAGGGCAAGTCACCTGTCCATCATCGTTAAGTTTTAGTTCCGCCCCTTGCTCAGGGCAATTGGGAAGGGAAGGGAGCCATTTTTAGTTAGTCTCAGCAAGGAAAGCTAATGTACAGGACGTGTACAAGCTTCTCCTGTACAAAAGCTTCAACCCTTAAGACTTTCCGGGGGAGAACAGTCTTAAGTCTCCAAAGATTTCCAGGGAAACAGCCCTAAAGACCAAAGAACTCCAGCTGGAGAATCTACTAACCTTACTGGTAGGTCCACTCGCCGTTCGAGATGCAATTCGACCCGGTAGCGGAGCCCACATCAATAAGAATTAAGATTACAGTCAGCCTGAGAGAAGTTAAAAGGGGGATTTTCCTTTAAAGCAAAGAATCAATTACTGAAGACAATTGCCTGTCCTTCGTGGACAAGATTAGGAAGCCACCAGTTGCATAAAAGCCTGGAATCATTTGTTTATCTTTACTGAAGACAAGAGAAGTTTCTGTTTGATTGTTCATTAATAAAGGACTTTGTTATACTTCACAAGCCATCTAAAGACTATTTGTGGTGGAAAACCTCTGAGAACTTCTCTTCGGGGGGCCCTGGCTTCCCGCTGGGCTCAAGTCGCATGTCCTATTTAAAGACAATTATTTACAGGCCCAGCGCACAACAGAACAAAAGCCAAAATTGAAAAGTCGGCGACAGATCCCAAGTGTAAACTCTGCAAGGAAGCAGATGAAACGATAGATGACATCCTCAGCTGCTGCAAGAAGATCGCGCAGACAAACTACAAGCTGAGGCATAACACCATTGCTCATGTGATTCATTGGAACTTGTGCCACAAATACCATCTGCCTGCGACAAAGAACTGGTGGGATCACAAGCCGAAAAATGAACAAGTCAGGCTACTCTGGGACTTCCGGATTCAGACAGATAGAGTTTTGGAGCACAATACTTGTGACCTCACAAGTATGGATCGTTGACAGCAGGATTGAAGAGAAACAACTGGAAAAGTTTACATGATATTAGGATTTAAAGACTGAACTGCAAACACTCTGGCACAAAGCAGTAAAGGTGGTCCCAGTGGTGATCGGCACACCGAGTGTGGTGTCTAAAGAACTTGGCCTGCACTTAAACACAATTGGCACTGACAAAATTACCATCTGTCAGCGTCAAAAGGGATCTGCACACATTATTCGCTGATACATCACATAGTCCTAGACACTTCCGACGTGTGATCCAATACAACAACCAGCAGAGTGATCTTGTTTGCAGTGGACTCATCTTGTTGTGTTTCTAATAATAATAATAATAATAATAATAATAATAATAATAATAATAATAGCAACACTTTATTTATATTCTGTCCTATCTCCTCAAGGGGACTCAGAGGGGATCACAGTACACATACATGGCAAACATTCATGTCGTTTTGGACAGACAAGACAGAGACAAGACAGAATAGAAAGGAGGTCTGTTGTGTTGCAGTCCAGCTTATTGGCACCTTGGAGGTTGTGCATGAATCCAGTCACAGGCGGGTGCTGCCGCTCCATCCTCTATGACGAAGAGCCATCAGGGCTTCCTCCCTCCTTTTGGTCCCTGGCATTTTCTGGTCTTTTCGTTTTATGGTGTCATAAAATACCTCCCCTGCTTGTTTAGCGGTAATTTCTCTACTTACAGCTCTAACATGTTTTTGAACTGCTTAGATAAACAGTGAGCTGGACTGACAGTCAGGAGCTGACAATAACCTGGGGATTCGAACTGAAACCTTTTGGTTGGTAGATCTTATCGTTGCTGGTGATTTACCAGCTATCCTAAAGCCCAGCCCAACAACAACAACAACTTATTAGGCCTGGGTAACAACGGAAAAATTTGTTTCTAAAATCGATTCGTTTTTTGGGGGTTTTTGCGTTTCGTTATTTAAAATAATTACAAAATTTTCCTTTAAAAAAGTTCGATATTTACGAAATTTCGTAAATGTGAAAAAAAATTACAAAACAATAACGAATCGATTTCCGAAACAATAACGAATCGATTCGTTAATGGCGGGTGCGACCGCGCAATACGCTAAAAAACCTCCAAATGGGACAGGGGGAACTTCTGAAGCTTAATTAAACCAAAAACAACTATAAAAACCCTTAGAAAACCAAAAACAACTATAAAACTTGCCCCAGACATGCGGAAATAATAACGAAAACGACCTCAAAACGATAACGAAACGAATACAATAACGAAATACAAAACATTTACGGAACGATTTAAAAATTCGTTTTTTTAAAAAATTGCTCCAGACTGGTTCGTTATCATTTTGTAATTGAAAAATTAACGAATTTTTTTAACAAATTACGAATTAACGAAACGAAACCGCCCAGCCCTACAACTTATATTTAAATTCCACCCTTCTCCCTGAAAGGACTCAAAACAGATTAAAGCATATAAACAGACACAGGTTAAACCGCTGAGCTGCTGAACTTGCTGACTGAAAGGTCAACAGTTCAGATCTGGGGAATGGGGTGAGCAACCGCAGTTAGACCCAGCTTCTGCCAAACATTCAAATGTGAGTAGATCAAGGGGAAGGTAATGGCACTCTATGCAGTCATGCTGGCCACATGACCTTGGAGGTGTCTATGGACAATGCTGGCTCTTCGGCTTAGAAATGGAGATGAGCACCACCCCCCAGAGTTGGACACGACTAGACTTAATGTCAAGGGGGAAACTTTACCTATACCTTAAACAGACACAGGTAAACATTCAATGCCTTGTTACAGTAAGACACACAAATACAGACAAAGGTAAAGGCTTCTCCTTTCATTTCTGGCTCTGGAGGCGGTGCTCATCTCCGACTCTGGGGGAGGTTCTCGTTTCCATTTCCAAGCTAAAGAATCTGGGTTGTCTGTAGACCTCCTGATCGTGTGGACAGCATCTTAAATTATCTATATAATTTGGCACTGGTTCTCCAGCAAGTCAACAAGGATAGAGCTCTCCTAGCAGAACCGTTCCCTGCTTGCTTTTCACTGCTATGCATCTTCCTTCTTTTTTTTTCTTGCTCCACTCTTCCTTTCTCACAATGGTTTCGTTGGGACCCTCTGAGTAAGTCTGAACTATTGGGTTGGACTACTTAGTTGCATACATCTGTGTTGCTAATTTTTCCTGTACTGACGGGAGGGAACTCAGCTGGAATAGCTTCTTTTTGAGAGGAGAACCGTTCCTGATAGGTGCTATTCCTGGCTTTAGACAAGGAATGAGAAACATGCATGGGTATACATGCATGGTGTTCCCTTATTCTACCTATTGTGAAAAAAAATTCAGGAAGCAAAGCACAGAGAGATAAACACAGGTTGTGTTTGAGGGGCTGGAAAGAGCTGCGGGCCTTATTCCTGGTCCATTGAGTCAGTACAGGAAAGATTAGTACTCGATAGGCTCTTGGTAGTCATTCTGTTGATCTTCTGGGTGGAAGTGGAGTTTGGGAGGGAAGAGGCGTTGGCCGATCTTGATAGAGAACCTGTCTCTTTCTCAGCGCTTGGTAAGAATGAACATGCCCATTTCAAACGACGACTTAAGTGTCCACTTCACATCCACGTTGATGGCCTTGATCCGGACGGCTCTGGAGATCAAACTTGCATCAGGTGAGAAGACCACGGAGGAGGTCCAAATGGGGGAAACCAAATGGGAAAGATAGTGACTTTCTAGTAATGGTCAGACGTGTCCATTGTTTGTTATCCTACCTTCAACTGTTGATTCTACGAGGGTTGAATGAAAAGTAATGCCTCCACCTTCGTAATTCCTCAACAGATGACTTTGTTGTTCATTCGTTTAGTCGTCTCCGACTCTTTGTGACCTCATGGACCAGCCCATGCCAGAGCTCCCTGTCGGCCATCACCACCCCCAGCTCCTTCAAGGTCATAACAGATGGCAGTACTGGAATAATAATAATAATAATAACAATAATAATAATAATAATAATATAAACCTTTATTTATACCCCGCTACCCTCTCCCGCAGGACTTGGTGCGGCTTACAAGAGGCCGAGCCCAAATACATCATAAAACATAACAACGACAATGCAACTATAAATAACTCATAACAAAGCAAAACAATACGATAATGACACGACGCAATTAAAAACCGGTGGCAGGGCCAAATGTAAGAATTAATATTTTAAAATGCTGGGCATGTCCAGGGAAATAGGTTGGATATTTTAAAGATAGGTAGGCGTGCAGACAGTACTGAATCTCTCTTAAAGTGCATTGGGGATATACTGCTTGGGAGTCCTTATTCTGGGAAGGCACACTGGAACATCCACGTCTTCAAGCTCCTTCTAAAGACTGCCAACTTTGGGGCATGCCTGATGTCCTTGGGGAGGGAGTTCTAGAGTCGCGGGGCCACCATCGAAAAGGCCCTGTCCCTCATTCCCACCAAGCACGCTTGCGATGCAGGTGGGATCGTGAGCAGGGCCTCTCCAGATGAACGAAGAGATTGTGTGGGTTCGTATACAGAAATGCGGTCACGCAGGTAGGCAGGTCCCAAACCGTTTAGGGCTTTGTAGGTAAGCACCTGCACCTTGAATTGGGACCGGAAAATGAACGGCAGCCAATGGAGCTCCTTAAACAGGAGGGTTGACCTCTCTCTGTAAGGAGCACCAGTTAACAACCTGTCCAGGTACTGGCTTGTTCAGTAGACTCTCCTCTACAGTTCCATTTTTGTGGGAAGCCTTAGCATTGAACGGTTGTGGTGTTAAAGTGCAAAGTATGGAACCCTGTGCAGACGGTTGGTCAATGCGACTTAAGCAATGTGCAGTCAGGCCTGTAGCAAGGGGGGGGGGGGTAAGGGCTACACCCCCCCCCCCCGAAATTTTACAGGTTAAAAAAAAACCTGGTTTACTCATGAATTTTAACTGGTTAAATAAAATCCGCATGCTAAGTCTAAGAGACGCAAAAAATTAAGAGTCCCTCCAGAACTGCAAGCACTATCTCAAGCAGATATTGGCAATTTATTCACACTGTCATTACTTGCAGCAATAGCCGATGTAGTGAAGCAACCAAGATGGGGGTGTTGTTGAATGCTCTCATTAAGGAGGCCAGACTTGGTGGAGGTGGTTGACAGGGGCGGAGCTGCAGGCTTTAAGCCCCCCCCCCCAATTTTCAAAAACCCCCCCCCAAATTTTCAACCCTTCCCCAAATTTTTTTTCTGGCTACGGCCATGTGTGCAGTCATTGAATTCTTGACAGCAGAAGGTGTCACTCCAAAGGAGATTCATCAGAGAATGCAAGCTGTTTATGGTGATGGTGTTGATGTGAGTACTATGCGTCGTTGGGTGAGAAAGTTTAAAGATGTTGAGGTGGGAACATCTGACTTGCATGACGAACAAAGAGTTGGACGTCCTGTGACAGCAACCACCGAGTTTCACAAGCAAAAGTCTGACAGATTGATTCAGGATGATTGTCGTATCACTCAGAGAGAAATTGCAAGCATAATTGGCATTTTACAAGAACGTGTGGGTTACACTATTGCTTTGCTTGGCTATCGGAAGATCTGTGCACAGTGGGTACCCAGGATGCTGACGCCTGAAATGAAAGCGCACAGACTTGAAACTTCAGAGACTGGATCTCACCACCATACGACATCCTCCATACACTCCAGATTTAGCACCGTCTGACTTCCATCTGTTCCTGATAATGAAAGAAAATCTGCGGGGACATCATTATGCTTCTGATGAAGATGATGAGAGACGCTGGTTGCGGAAACAGAGTGTTGACTTCTTCCGTGACGGCTTCAGAAAACTTGTTCATAGTTGACAGAAATGCATCCACTTGTCTGGTGATTATATAGAAAAGTGAATAGTGATAGTTAAAGAGCACATTCTAAGGATTATTTCTGCGTTTGATTTATTAAAATATTCCCATCCAAACCCAAGTAACGAAGGTGGAGGCATTACTTTTCATTCAACCCTCTTTAAAAAGGAGTCCTTTTGTGGTCATGCCATTGAGGGGACAAATGGAGATAGGTATTTGTAGTGTATTTGTATGGGGCATCAGGTGGGAACTCTAAAGGTATCATCAGGAAACAACACAATAACACTATGTGACACGATTTTTGTTCCTGGGTCAAAAAATTGGTTCTATCATAAAAAGATGGAAAAAGTTTATTGAACTAAAAAAACTTTGTTTCTGTGTGAGGAACTGTTGGAAATAGCAACCTTCTCAAGCCTCCACTAGTTGTAGGTTATGTATATAATTCAGTTTGGTTACTGTATTGAATATGTATGTATTGGTTTGCAGTTTATCCTTGTTGTGGGAGGGACTACAGACCATGTGATCAGGTCTGGGCTTGTTCAGAACTCAGACTCCATCTAGTTGGGTACCTAAGCCAGTTAGCAATAAAGTTCCTTTAGAAAGAATTTATTTATTATTTACAGTATTTATATTCCATCCTTCTCACCCCGCAGGGGACTCAGGGTGGATTACAATGTACATATATATACATGGCAAACATTCAATGCCATATACACGCAACATATATAGACAGACACACAGAGGCCATTTAACATTCCAGCTTCATGAGGGTATTTGGCCACCAGGGGAGCTGTTGCTTCACTGTCCATTTGTGACACTGATGAAGTACTTCCTCATTCTTTGCATGCTTGCTGGAGATTTTTATGGCGTCGTAAATTAGTTAAATTAGCCTCCCCGCATAAGCGGTACCTAAATTTTCTACTTGACAGCTGCAACTGTCTTTCAGGCTGCAAGGACTGCTACAATTAGACAAGATACCAGAAATCCTTAAAGTAAGTTAAAAAAAAGGTCACCCAAACTCTAGGAATAGGCAGATAGATTGGTTTTACTTTGTCCCACATGTACACTTAGCAAAAGTTTGTCAGTTCTGATCACAACCCAGAGCCCAATGAAATATCCACTGGGATGGTGAGCAATTTAATAATGCTTGGCAAACACTATAGTAACCCTATGTAACAAAATTTGAAAAAAAAATCTGTTCTTGGTTTGAAAGTGTTATTTCTGTTTAATTGGGCAGTACTTCCTTTGAAAGTTGTTGTTCTACTCCAGAAACTTTGTCTTTGTGGTTGCCACAAAGTAGGTTGAATTGGTTGAGACTCGTATGATGATATATTCATTGAAAAAGTAGACCAAAATGTGCTGTAGGATGTCCCTTCAACAAAGACAATGTTTTCACAGTTTAATTTCCTATTTTTTATTACGATAGAAACAATTAGGAAATGACATTGATCACCCAGGAACAAAAATGGTGTTGCATAGTGCAATAATAATAATAATAATAATAATAATAATAATAATAATAATAATAATAATAATAATAATAATACATAATAATTGTACTTGGGAGTTGTGGAGATTGTGGGTCCTGGCAAGAGAGTTGCAGAAGTGGGATGCATTGCCCTGCTCCATGGATTAGTCTGCTCAAACTGTGTCTTCCTTCTGAATTCTTGTCTGAGATGTTCTTCATCCTCATCAGGAGTCCTGCAACACCAGTGTGATGCTGAGTTAAGGAAGGAGATCTCACTTGTGTGGCCCAATCTGTCCCCAAAGACCTTGGATCTGTTGGTGCCACCTCATAAAGGTAAGTGTCCATTTTCCTTCGGACCGGACAATAGTTTATTTATTTATTTATTATTTATTTGCTTTATTTCTATACCACATTTTTCAGCCTAATTCGGCGACTCAATGCGGTTTCTGTTTTTTTTCCCATTTTAGTCATTCATCCTTTCCGTTCTCACCTTCTCGGCTCTATTAATCTCTTTTTTTCCCCTTCCAGCAGAAGCAATGACCGTTGGCAAAGTCTATGCAGCCCTCATGATCTTTGACTTCTATAAACAGAATAAAAACACACGGGACCCTGCACACCCAGCCTCGGGAGGTCTTCGCCAGGTAAATCCTTCTCTCTTGCCTCCCACCCCACCATCAAAACACAGCAGAGCCTACGTTTGAGGCCTCCATTCCTGCTTGTGTTCCATAAAACTATTCCAGTGTAGCCCTGTTACATGAAATCAAGCAGTGTAATGGTCTGAAACCCACTGACTGGCCATGGGTGAGGCATACACTCTCTGCCTCAGAAAACTATGCTATAAGGTTGCTTTAAGGTTGCCATAAGTGGTAGAGTTGCCATGAATGGTAAGATTGCCTTAAGGTTGCCAAGCATGGTAGAGCTGTTTTAGAGTTGCCTTAGAGTTGTGATAAGTTGTAGGGTTCCTGTATGTGGCAGGATTATCTTTGGCTTGCCATGAATTATAGAGTTGCTTTAGAGTTGCCTTAGGGTTGCCATAAATGGTAGGGTAGCATAAGTTGTAGGGTTGCCTTATGGTTGCCATGAATGTTAGAGTAGCTTTAGGGTTGTCATGAATTGTAGAGTTGCTTTTGAGTTGCCTTAGGGTTATCATGAATGGTAGAGTTGCTTTAGAATTGCCTTAGGGTTGCCATAAGTAGTAGGGTTGCCCTAGGGTTGCCATGAATGCTAGGGTTGCCTTAGGGTTGCCTTAGGGTTGCCACAAGTGGTAGGGTTATCTTAGGGTTGTCATGAATGATAGAGTTG